CTATAAAGCTAGTAGCGAACTGAAATTAACTTACAAGTACGGGCAACTTTCAAAATATTTTCGTAATGAGATTGCTAGTNTGCAGCTCTAGTGCGACGTAAAGTAACAACAACAACAACGGGCAACTTTCAAAATATTTTTGTAATGAGATTGCTAGATTATGAAAAATGGAAGAGCAAATAGAGGTAAATAGAAGGATTGCGTTTTTACTCCAGTACTGAAGCGCGTTTGATTTGTTAGTTAGCAAGGATTGTTACGAAAATGGATGTGCGCAAGGTAATAATATTATACTGAATAATTTAAAGAAGCTTATAATTAGAAAGGTCCAATTGTACAATTTTACTAAATTATTATTTATTCTTGTAAAGAGAGAGAGAGAATAAATTGCACAGATTTTTAGACACGGATTTGCCTGATTCTGATTTGGAAAAATATCAGTAAACAAAGAAGTTAATCATAACATACATTTAACTCAATGATTTTATGTAGAACTTAATTACGTTAGTTGGGTATCTATTGTTTATTTTAAAAGATTTTGTCTACTTGCTTTTTGGATAAATAAACTTATTCCTTTAATTCTACTTATTTGATTAAAAATGGTATTTAAATAGATGTTTTCGAAAACATTAGAATTCCAAGTAATTAGTTTAATATTAAAATCATTTTTTCTATCGTATAAATCAACAAAGCAGATTCTTTTATAATGCCAAAAAATTGAAATTAACATTATCATGGTGATTACGAAGCTAGATTAATTCCTCGGGGATCCTACTATTGCAGCTTAAAGCGCAGCAAATGAAATTCTATTTCCTTTTTCATATTTTTCTCCAATTTTAAAGATAACATCAGTGATCATTATGTATTTGAACAAAAAAGATAGTTTAAGTGTTTAATTATTTTATGTTCGCAATGTCTGATAAATTCAATAAAGAACATCAAATTTATACTTTAATAGTTGTCCTTTTTTTTTCTTCAATTCCTACTTCACATATCTTCAATAGTTCTTAAAATACTTCATCCACTCAAATACATTTTCTTAAACTTCTGTACACTTGTTGTTAATACAGTTTTTTTTTTTCTCAAATATTAATTCATTAATTTTAGATTAGATTTAGAACTAAATTTAGAGAAAAAAATTTTTTTAATTATTTAATAAAAAGTAACTAAAAATTCTTTGTTGTTTCGTATCAAAAAAAATACTATTTTGGAAGTCATTCAATTCAGCCTTGCATTAGTGTCAAAAAAAAACNTCTAGTGTCCTAAAAGACATTTGCATTTGTTGTTTGTTGTCCCATTCATTTCAATAATTCAGTTTATACTTTAGATTAGATTTAGAATTAAATTTAGAGAAAAAAAAATTTTTTAATTATTTAATAAAAAGTAACTAAAAATTCTATGTTGTTTCGTATCAAAAAAAATACTATTTTGGAAGTCATTCAATTCAGCCTTGCATTAGTGTCAAAAAAAAAAAACTGTACTTAATTGGAATGCGGTTGACTTCCTTCTCTGGACAATGAACAAAAATTATTTTTTCATAATAAAATTTTTAAATACTTCATTTTTTATGATGCCATTTTGTATAATCAGAAAGAAACAAGGAATATTTTCCGGGCGTATTTTGGGGAATGCAATTTCTGATGTCATAAAGTACATTGCACAAATTAATTAACATATTTAGATTGCATTTTAGGACTCTCCTTTTATTTCATTGTTATTGAAAAATATGTATTTGTTGAAAGCAGCCTTATATTTTTCTTTACAAAAAAAATCTATTTCACTGTTAAAAATTTCATTCTAAATTTATGGAAAAATCACTGGCAGCTGTCTCTCCAGTTATTTTTCCATAAATATGGATAATATTTATATGTTTTCCGTATGTGACATTTTGTACCTAACATCCCGAATTTGACATTTTTACGGATAATCATGAATGATTAACCGTAAAATTTACGGTAAAGAACATTTTTTTCCCTTTATGGTTTTGAAACCATTTACAAAAAGTGTGGTTATAAAACCATGACTAGAAAACTATATCGTTCTTTAACCATTTACAACTAGCATTTCTTAAAATCGTAAAAAAAGAAATAATTATTTAGCAGGAGCTTTACTTTTTGTAAGGTAATGGGCATTGGAGTGTGCCGGACACTGGAAATTATTCACGTGTTGATGGCGAATGGACTGTGGTGTCAACACTCTGCCGGTCATGATGAGCTCGCTCGGCTATGATCTGTACGCAGTTGCAAAGAACTAAGTTTCTTCATTAGGTGGTTCTGGTTGTTCAACCGTATTAGGTGAAAGCGGTTAATAAACCGGTTCTCTTAAGCTTAATTGTTTGATTACCATTTTATTTAAGGTTATTTGACTGTTTCGATTAAATATGGTAAAATAATCATTCAATAAATTGTTATTTGACCATTTTTAATTAAATTTCTAAGAGTGCATAAAAAATAAATTATTGGATATTACGATTTTCCAGGGTTTCAAAACTTGCAAAAAAAGGAGGAAAAGAAGAAATTATAGGTTTTTTGAAAAACTCAGAAGAGTGCCAAACGATATTCTAAGACTTAAGCAAAATAAAAAATTCTACTAATTTTTAACAACACCAAGATAATATAAATTAAAAATGCACCAATCTTCAAAAGAAAAAAAAATTAAAAGAGCGAACATAAAAATAAAAAACATTTTCTTCTTTAACGACTTTTTTTCAGCTTTTCAATCTTTAGCAGGACAAGTTGATCTCCACTTCCGCAAAATATATGCACTGGAATAGGTTAAAAATGTCAATTTTTCGCCAGAAATAGCTACGATACTCTCTTCATAGCCTGAAGAAACGAAAAAAAAACATTTTTCTCTCGAATACCCTTAAGCTCGTTCCAGTATGTTTTTTTACTTTCTATGTACAGCACTTTTTTATTATATTATTTTTTTTCTTCCTTTTTTTTTCTTCTCTGACGGTTGGTATAAAAATGTGGAACGCATGTTCTAGAATTTCATTTCTTCTTCTTATGAAAATAGTATAAGATTGTAGTTTTTCAAGATAGACCTAGGTTCTTTAAATCCAAGCAATATTTGTTTTTGATGTTTTCAAAAGAAATTATATATATANTATATAGGCAATGGGATGCATATTTTAAAGGTCAGTGAATATATTGTTATGGTATTTTTAAGGGTGACACAATCTAGGAACCTTCATGAGAATCAATCTTCTCTTGATGATTAACCATCATAGTATTAAAGTATCATATTTCATCATGGAATGATGGAAGTTTGTGGGAATATCGAAAACCACGAACTCATATTGGAAAATGTTGGATGATGGTAACCATCCAATGATGTCGAACCATCAGGAATCGGACTGAAACCTACATAAACCATCAAACATTTTGGCTTGGAATAGCTTGGCACTAAAAACGAAAATTTTGGAGCGCATAGATCCTCTAACAATAGACTCCCCAGTCAAAGTTTTTGATGGTTTTCCATTGATGGACCAACATCACTAATTAACCATCAATAATCCATGATGGTAACCATTAAATAATCCAAATTGTTTTGATTCCTGAGAACCAACAAGAATTCTTATTAAACCATCATGTATAGTTGGAACCATCATGAACTATCACGGATTATCATGGATTCCTGAAAGTCTCTTGATGGTTAACCATCATAGTATTAAAATAGCATTTTCCATCCATTCAATGATGGAAGGCATATCAAAAACCATGAATGACCATCAAATGATGTTGAACCATCACTGAAGCCTTCATAAACCATCAAGACTTGGGTATTCGTAGTAGAAACAGTAAAATTCCTATTGAAATTTGATCAATACTGTTTTCATTTATTATTAAAATTGAAGATTCATTTCTTTAATACTGAAAAGTTTGTTATTATTTATTTAAAGTATATAAATATATATTTAAAAAAAATCTACTCTTCAAACTATCTAAAAATTTTAAATATTTTCGTTCTACTAACTAAATAAGAATTTTTTTTTTCTTCAAAAAATAAGTATAAATTATAAAGAAATTAAATTGTTTTTAAAGTTAAATTTATAAATTAAATAAAGAAATAATTTTACTTTAAAAAAAATTTAAAAAAATTCTTAGATTTTTACATATTTTTTTTAATAAAAATTTTCTCTTCAATGATTATTCTTTTTCTTCATTTGAGTAAATTGAAATAAGATAAAGAATAATTTTATGAAGTCAATGACGTACATTTATAGGAAACAATGACACAGGAGTCAATGATAAAAAATCTCCAGTGAAAACTGTTACATTTTTTGATGCTTTGCGCTGTTTGGAAACAGTGAAAACTTACCTAATGCAGTAAATAAAGGAGTATTTTCTTCTCTTCTTGACTTTGAAAAAGAACTTTTTAAAGTAAGAAATAAGCAAACCTTACTCATGAAATGCTTTAAAATTTCAAAAAATAAATCAGCGTGTAATCATTCGCTGATATTTTAAGTGCCTGAAGAAAAAGTTTAAGATTTCTATTTATTTTGTGTATTTGCTTTATTAGGCACGCATTCCAGTCAAATCCCTGATATTACGAATTTTCCTCGATTTAGCTAATAATACTTTCCCAGAAGACCTGTCACCTTTTCTGCAACTCGGAATTCACTTTTTATTGTCTAGAAAATGTTTGTACAAAAAAAATCTTTTTTCAATGAAGCAAAAATATTGCAGTTTCAAACCTTAAAAGGATCAAAAATTATTTTTTAAAGCCTGTTTCATAAAGTCACTTAGATAAAATGGTTTAAACTGACGCCACACTGCCATTAAGAGGTGGATTTTAGCTGGGCATACGAAAAGTTTAAGAATATTCTCACCTTGAGACTTTTCAGTGTTGAAGTCGGTTTTTGTATTGGATTAAGGTAGAATTGAGCAGATCTCGTTTAAAGGTTTACCGCATTAAAAGATTATTTGCCGAGTGTTAGCTGTCATTCAATCGGAGTGCATGCCGATAAATATTATAAAATCATTTTTGTCTTTTCACAGAATGTGCTCCTTCAGACGATGGATTGGAGAGGTTCGCGTGTCCGACACCCGACAGAATGGGCCGATATAGATGTATAGATGACCACATGCTCTGCGACGGTTTTATAGATTGCGCGGCTGCTGAAGACGAAGACAGAATGTCATGTATGTTTTACAAAACGGTAAGTGCTCCAATAAAGTGTTACTTAATATTATTTCGCAGAGAAGCATGGGATAGAGCACTCGAATTCCAATGAGGCGAACCGGGTTCGATACGAATTCCGGTTTGCACTGACGTGAAATATCCTCAGTGGTAGATGGATCATGGATTAGAGTACCCTTGCCGTCAGGCTAACCGTGGGAGGTCTTCGTGGTTTTTCCGCTCCATGTAATGCAAATGCAGGTCAGTTCCATCAAAAAGTTCTCCACGAAGGAAAATTTCTCACAATGCTCGATCCAGGAGTTCCCTTGTCTTCTGGAGTGGATTCGAAATTGCAAGGCTGCGGAGTTGAACATTAGTAGTCGTAAACCCATAAAATTGGGTCAGCTGTTCTACGACGGTTATGAAATATAAAATTATAAGATATTATTTCACAGACCCCCAATGGCTATGGGGATAGAGCGTTGGCCTCCCAATGAGTTGAAGCGGGTTCGAATCCCAGCAAAGGCTGATTTATTCGAATTTCTCACCCTGCTCGCACGGACCGCAGCGTTGACATAAAATATACTCAGTGGAAGACGGATCTTGGGTTAGAGTCCCCTTGCCACCGGGCTAACCGTGTGAGGTTCTCGTGGTCTTCCTCTCCATGTAACGCAAATGCAGCTTAGTTCCATCAACAAGTCCTCCACAAAGTCAAAAAGCTCCCTTGTCATCTGGATTGGGTTCAAAATTTTAAGGCTACGGAGTCGAACACTGATAGCCGTAAACTGAACATTCGGGGGGGGGGGGGTTNTAGCCGTAAACTGAACATGGGGGGGGGGGTGTTCAGCACGGTTTTAAAATATAAATAATAAAACGAAATAATATACAATAATAAAAGGAATAAATACAATAATAAAAAGAATAATGCGAAATAATATTTTATTTTATTTATATAAAATATTATTTAGAATAAAGTCTTATCTCTGCATTATATAACAAACTAATATTTCCTAGTCTAATACTATTTTGCATTGGTTTGGATACTATATAATAATTCTGCTATTATCTTGCCTTGTTTTTGGGCAAGGACAAGATTTTGATGGTCGAAGAATAATTCGACGATGAAATTATACTTCTTTATTGTTGTGAGGCAGTTAAACAATATCATTTCTACTCCTTGTTAACAATATATAAAATTATATTATCGAACCATCCAAATTACATTCTACGTCCAGCTGAATATTATAAACAAAAAAAATACTTGAGTAGCTTAACTTTTGATAATTTTTTTTCCATTCTTTATACAAAGATTTTTCTGATAAATTTTGAATCATTTTCAAGTGTTTACTTTTAATTTTAAATGTAGTCCTATTTTTTGTTCTTTGGAACTGAGAAGCAAAATTTTATTTGAATTTGTTAGTTTACATAAAAGTCATCTTTCTCTAGTCAGTTCATAATTAAAATACATTATTCGCAATTGTGTAATAAAAAAACAGTTAAAAAGTTATATTTGAATTAAGTAAAAATTTTAACTTTAAAAAAATAAATTATTTTTTAATTCTTACCTTCGTTACATATATATTTTACTTATTTCCATAAAATGAAACTGTAAGATTAAAATAAATTATTATTAGAACTTTTTTTGTAATAATTATGATAATAAAGGAGAATATTTTTAAAATTACTTACTTCCAAAAAATAACTCACTTACTACAAATTAATTATCTTTCATTCCTTCTTTCACTGAAATTAAATACTTACTTTATTTCTCTATATATGAAATTTTACCTAACAAAAGTCACCGTATATCATTGCAGAGGATGATAATTCGGTGATTTTACTTTAATGTTCTGTATTGTAATAACATCACTGTTGTCATAGTAACACCTAAAAGTTTACTTTAAAACTAGTTAAAATGTTTTTAATAGAACAGTTTTCTTGACCTATAAAAGAATAATTGTCAAGTAAAATCAAAAAAATTCAAGAAAACAGTGGTTTACTCAAGTGGATGTCTACTTATTATGTCCCAACTGTGTGTTTTAGGAAACATTTCTTGAAAACTGTCCTACTTTGGTTAACAAAGAGAAATTTTTCTCCCTTATAAAATTAATTAATTCAGTTTAATGAATGAATTAATGTTTGTAAACATCGAGTGTCATTCACTGCAAGTTTTAAAATAATCAATTTGAGTGGACATTTTATTGAAGATTGAAGAAGGGTGACGTCATGTTCTTCATTGAAGAGCCGCGATGACTCAAAGTGAACCGGGTTCGAATCCCAGCGATGGACTTCCACATCCGGCTTGCATCGATTACACTGATGACGTAAAAATATCCCCAGTGGTAGACGGATCATGGGTTAGAGTCCCCTTGCCGTCAGGCTAACTGTGGAAGGTTTTCGTGTTTTTCCTCTACATGTAACGCAAATGCTGGTTAGTTCCATTAAAAAGTCCTCCACGAAGGCAAATTTCTCCCAATACTTGATCCAGGAGTTCCCTTTGTCTTCTGGAATGGGTTCAAAATTACAAAGGCTACGTAGTTGAACATTAGTAGTCGTAAACCGAAAAAAAAATGGGTCGACTGTTCAACGACGGATATAAATAAATATAAATATATATAATGTAAACCAGAGTCGTGCTGACTTAGGGGAAAGAGTGTTCGTCATACAATGAAGTGAACTGAGTTCGAATCCCAGCCATGGCTGGTCGATACGAATTCCGCATCCGGCTTGCACCGATCACAGTGCTGACGTAAAATATCCTCAGTGGTAGACAGATCATGGGTTAGAGTCCCCTTGCCGTTAGACGAACAGTGAGAGGTTTTCGTGTTTTTCCTCTACATGTAACGCAAGTGCGAGTTAGTTCCATCAAAAAGTCCTGCACGAAAGCAAATTTCTCCCAATGCTTGATCTAGGAGCTAGGATGATTGATCTGGATTGAGTTCAAAATTGCAAGGATTTGAACATAAACAGTCGTAAACCCGAAATTGATACATGCATTGAATTGGTTTGTGATGATAATAGAGCATTCTATTGAAAACAGATCGTAAAATAATATTACATTCAAATACAGTAAAATGAGGGGAAAAAGAAATATTTTTCAAGAAAAAAAAATAGTATTATATAGGTATAATATTATTTAAATATTATTACAGTATATAGAAAAAAATAGTATCTATAACATTTATCAAACAGTTTTTATTACAACCAAGAAACCTAAATCATTCTTGTTAATCAAGGGTTCCATGCTATGATTTTTCTGGAGAATTTACCGACAACAATGAGAAATAGTTTAATATAATTATATTTTTATGTCGTACAGAAAAATGGAATATTAATGACTGGAATAGGATGGTCAAATGTAAACAATAAATTAAACATTAAAAAAATCTTTCTCTTTAAAAAAAATTTAAAACGAGATTAGTTTTTGAAAAAAAAATTTTATTTATCTATTTCGTAATTTTAAATTTGTGGCTTGGTAATTGTTGCTTATTTTTTGACACACTGTTACGAAATTTCTCGAAAAAATGGCCAAATAACAATCTATTTCATTCTTATTTTACCATATTTAAACAAAACATTTAAATAACCATAAATAAGATCGTAATACAACTAGTAAACAGTGAGAAAAATCGTTTACTAACTATTTTGACCTAAAACGGTTAAATAACAAAAATTTTATTGCACCCACTAAGCCAACCTAATGAAGCAACTTAGTTTCTTGCGCACATATTATAGCTGTTCATCTCATGACCGACAGGGTTTGAGTCTCAGCGTTGACACCTCCATTCTCTTAAACACACATCTCCAATGCCCACTAACGAGAAGCCTATGTCCAGTTAAATTTTTTTGCTGTTTTGAAACCATGGTAGATGTAAATGGTTAAAAAACCAGTATAGCTCTGTATTCATGATTTCGTAACCATAGTAGTTGTAAACGGTTTCAAAACCGTGAAGGTGAAAAATATTCTTTGCCGTTAACTTCACGGTTAATCGGATGGACAGACTGCTGCCGGTTATTTTACCATAAATTTAGAATGAAAATTCTAACAGTGCTCTCTAAAGCAGAAAGTAGCTTCTTTAGAGAAAAAAAATTGAATAAAATTGGTTGGAACACGATAAAATAAAAGCTTTGTCCCCAAACAAAACAGAAAAAGCAAAGATAATTTATTCTTCCTAAATATTTTGGCAAATAACTTTTTGTATGATTAAAAGGAAATCAATTTGATATTCAAGAGATGCGAGTAAAGCAAAATCAATAACGCATTCATTCCATTACCTAATTTCGTAGAAGAGAAATGGAATTAAATTTACGAACAGACGAGAGAAGTTAATTGGTTTGACGCCTTTTCAACATAACTTAATCATAATATGCTGTTGACTTTAATTGGTTTAAAGATAATGAAGTAAATACATTTCGAACGATTTATTTAAAAAAAATGATAAAACGTTTTATTTTTATTAGACACTCTGGCGCCATTCAGGATTTTAAATTTCACAAAACATTATTATTATTATTATTGGTTTTATACAGTTTATCATCCATTTCGAGAATAAACGTTTAAAAAATTATAAAGAATAAAGATTGTCTTTCAGATTATAATTTTTATTCGACTGAAAATAATCATATGTTTATTTACTATTCAATTCATTTATATCTTAATCTTCATTTATATTATAATAATTCAGTGTAGAGTTTTTATTTTAGTTAGAACAGTACACAAATTTATATAAATATAAATAAATTTCTATCCATGTTTTTTATGCATTGTTTTTATAGTTTATCATCCATTTCGACAATAAACGTTAAAAAAAATTATAAAGAATAAAGATTGTCTTTCAGATTATAATTTTTATTCGACTGAAAATAATTATAAGTTTATTTACTATTCAATTCATTTATATCTTAATCGTCATTTATATTATAATAATTCAGTGCAGAGTTTTTATTTTAGTTAGAACAGTAAACAAATTTATATAAATATAAATAAATTTCTATCCATGCTTTTTATGCATTGTTTTTATATTTTATGATCCATTTCGATAATAAACGTTTAAAAAAATTTAAAGAATAAATATTGGCTTTCAGCTTATAACTTTTATTCTACTGAAAATAATAATAAGTTTATTTACTATTCAATTCATTTATATCTTTTGCTTAGTATAATAATTCAGAGTATTGTTTTTATTTTAGTTGGATTGAAACTATAAATAAATTTATATAAATATAAATAAATTTCTATGCATGTTTAATTCTGAACTTTTTTGTTTAATTCTGACCAAGAAAAACTAAGTAAACCTTTTTAATACTGTGTGGTAGTTCTACATAGTAAAAAAGACGCTCGTGTATTTCACAGATAATTCTTTGCGATACCTTTTACGAATAACACAAAAAAGTTAGCGTTCGAATAGTCTTTGACATTTTCTCCTCTTTTTAGACCTACTTGCAATTCTAGAGTCCCAACGAAAGATTCCTCCCCATGCATAACAATGAGTTTACTCCACAAATCATTCAGCAGTATAATATCCTTTTTTTTTCCCTTTTCAAAATAATAATAAAAACCCATTTTAGGGAACAAAAATTTGCGTTTTACCTCAAAGGGGAAAGCTTGGTTCACTTGTATTCCGATGAGCTCTTATACTTTTGTTCCCCTTTTTTTATTGGTTTCATTTATCAATGAGAAGAAATTGTAAAAGATTTAAAGTTAGATATCCTATTTTTGGAAAAATAAGTGTATTTTTCCAATTGAATCTTTCTACACTGTTAAAAATTTATCGGAAAATGGCTAAGTAACAATCTATTGAATAGTTATTTTACCACATTTAAACAAGGCAGTCTAATAACTATAAATAAGATGGCAAGGAAACCATTAACAGTGAGAAAAATCGTTAATTAACTGATTTCACCTAAAACGGTTAAATAACAAAAATTTTATTGCACCCACCTAATGAAGCTACTTAGTTCCTTGCATATTATAGCCGAGAAATATACTCATGACCGATTGAACGGGGGTTGGAGTCCCGGAGTTGACATTCCGTTTAACACTCATGAAGAATTTCCAGTGTCCTGCACTCTCCAATGACCACTATCTAACGAGAGCTCCAGTTAAATTTCTTTTCATACGGTATTGAAACCATGGTAGCTGTAATTGGTTGAAAAACAGCATAGTTTTGTAATCATGATCTTATAACCGTACTAGGTGTAAACGTTAATCAAAACCGTAAAGGTGAAAAATAATCTTTAACGTAAACTTTACGGTTAGTCAGATGGAGAGACTGCTGCCGGTTTTTTTACCATGATTTTAGAATGAAAATTCTAACAGTGTATTATTAATTTAAGCAACTATTGAATAAATACAAACTATTTAGAAGTGAAAGTTATGAATACATGAATATGCGAAAAAAATGCATGAATATACTAAAATTGAAATCTTTTTTTTTTTTATATTTTGGTAAATGGGTTAGTTTTAGTACAATCTATGTTTTTAAAACTATTAAAAAGGGTAATAAAGAAATTTTAACTATGAACAAAAGAAATTTTGCTACTTTTCTTGAACACGATTGTGATTTACAGTTTAAAGAATGAAACATTTTGTCAAAGAAATTAAATATATACATCATGTCTACGCGGGAAATAAAATTTTGGAAAATTTTCTGTTACGATAGTATCGCGAACCATGCTCAGTATCTTATGGAAGAATTTACCCCGACCCGCCCTTATTTAGGGCATACGGGTAAATGTTTATTAAAATCAAAAAAAAAAATCCAGAGAACAGTACAAACATAAATTACATTAAATACACATCAGACATGGCAACAGCCCATGAACATGGCGGGCGTAGAACAGCTAAAATCATGTAAGGTGATAAACATTAAAACAGCAATATATTAAAAATGTCAATTAAAAGAAAAATTTAAGAGAGCAATTTAAAAGATAAACGTGCAAAAATTACAAGAGAACAATATTGTAAAACAATTAAAAACATTACTATTAAAACCAATTAAATCAGTATCTTATAGCAGTACTTATATACAGTATCTTATACAGTATGCTCAGTATCTTATAGCAAAGTTCATCACCTACCCTGTTAGAATTTTCATTCAAAAATGACAGCTGTCTGTCCATCCGATTAACCGCTTACGGTGAAGAATATTTTTTATCTTTATTGTTTCGTAACCATTTACAAATAGTATGGTTATGCAACAATAAATGCAAAACTACACGGTTAACCATCTAGCATTTTTCAAAAACGTAAAAAAATATATATATATATTTAACTAGACATAGCTTTTCGTAAGGTAATGGAGAGTGCCGGACACTTGAAATTCTTCTTGTGTTGAAATAGTGTGGTTTCGAATCCCAGTTCTGCCAGTCATAAGATTAGCCCGCTCTGCTATGATGTGTACACAGTTCATTAGGTGGTCTTGCGATAAAATTCTGTAACCGTATTAGGTGAAAGCAGTTAATAAACTATTTTTCTCACTGTTTGATTACTATTTTATTTATCGTTATTTGACTCTTTTGATTGAATATCGTGAAATAACTATTCAATAAATTGTTATCTAACCATTTTTTTTCTAGAAATTTCTAAGAGTTTAAGATAAGTGACCTAAGAATTGTGATATTAAATGTCAATTTACATATTTATCGACAAAAAATATAGTATCATCTTTATTTGAAAAATTCAAAGTTATTTCTTATTGGAACATTATTTTCTTAAGAGTTTAGTTTATTATAAAAAATCCCTGGAAAAAAGTTGCCTAACATCATCTCTTTTTGAAAGCATCCCCGAGAGGACACAATTAACTGATTTGAAATGTCTTGGTTTCGAAATCAGTTCTCCCAAGTTGTAAAATTAAAGCCTTCTCGAAAAGATCCAAAACAGTTATTATGCCCTCAGTAATGGCCCCATTTCCTGGAGTCTTCATTACTTCATCTGCGTTTCATTACAGTGAGTGCTTCTTTACGCGAAACCTACTGCCCTATAATTCACATTTCAAGGAATATTTTTGAAACCTGTTGCCGTATAATTCACATTAAGAAGAAGGAATTTTATTATATTTCATTTGATGGCCTTCCAAACTCGCACCGACCGCAGTTCTGACGTGCCTTAGTGGTAGACGGATCCCCTTGCCATTAGGCTAACCGTGGTCTCCATGTAACCCATTAAAAAGTTCTTCACGAAGGCAAATTTCTCCCAATACTTGATCCAGGAGTTCCCTTGTCTTCTGGATTTGGTTCAAAATTACAAGGTAACGGAGTTGAACATTAGTAAACATAAACCCAAAAATTTTGTCTGCTGTTGAACGACGATTATTAAATAAAAATAAGAACTAGGATATGGACAAAACAAAAATGCTAACAAATGTGCAAAATCTAGAAAGGTGTTGGAATATCGTAATATAAAATACAAATAATTGTTACAATCTTCGTTATTAATCTTCGAGTGTTTAAAGTGTTTGAATGAAAATAAAATAAAAATATTGGCTAATAAATAATGTTTTTAAAACCATAGTTTGAGGAAATAACAAAATGCTACAATGATTATTAAAATAAATAAATAATCTCAAGTGTATACCATTTTCAGAAATAACTTCTTAATTAAAAATAAAACATAAAATGTCCTATCAATTTTCTAACTTCACATTTTGTTTTGGGTCAATACAATAACAAATGTTTGTCTACGGTTATGTAATGTCTGTATAGTTTGTCTACGGTTAGAACTCCGCCCGCCATGCTATGTCCGATGCTGCTATGAAAACAGTGCATTTCAGGGAGGGCTTCTTTTCCTTCAAGGGCAGGCAGAAAATATATTATCTCGATGTCTGAAACAATGACCCACTTGAAATAGTTATACCTCGTTACCATAGTCACCGATAAATGGAGTTCTCACTTTAGAGTTTTCATTCTAAAATCATGGTAAAATAACCTACCCATCTGATTAACTGGTAAAGAATATTTCTCTTCTTCACGATTTTGAAACCGTTTACAACTAGTATGATTATAAAATCTTCAATGCAAAACTGTACGGTATTTTTACCTTTTACAGCCACCATGGTTTCAAAACCGTAAAGAAAGAAACTTAACTGGACATCTCTTTAGAGAATGGGCATTGGAGAGTGTGTTACAGGGAATGTCAACGCTGGGACTCGAACCCCCGTTCTGTCAATCATGAGATCAGCTCTCTCAATAATGACATGTACGCAGTTGCAGGGAACTGAGTTGCTTCATGGGTTCTTGTTATTTAACCGTTTTAGGTGGTGGGGGTTTTCTCACTGTTTCATTTACAATCTTATTCATTGTTATTTGACTCTTTTGTTTTAATATTATAAAATAACAATTAAATAGATTGTTATTTAGCCAATTTAGACAAACCGTACCTTTCTTCATACATGTTCAAAATATTTGATCTTCTTTTTTCTTTTCAGACGAAAGCTCATTTAGATGTTTTAGCCGATGCATTGCTGCGGTGGGCAAGAGGACGCTACTGAAGACGCCAAGGAAAGATGCATCAATGGATTTGGATGAATGACCCACCCAAAAGACAATAAAAATACGCCTGTGAGTCCCTTTTATCAAAAGCCAAGAAACTCTCGTCCCATCCTTTACACCATTACGATATGGAAGTGCTCGTCAATTTTTTGGAAACTCTTGTATGCGGAAAAAAATCATTTTTAATCATTATATACTCTATAGGGATCTTTTTAAATCTTCCCCCCCCCCATCCATTTGCAATTGATTTCAATCATTGTATGCTCCCCCCCCCCCAAATGAGGTGTGCTAACAGTTCCTATTCTAGAGAGAGTCTTTATTTTCTGGGAAATTTTTAATACTTCTTCCTGCCATTATAAAAACCATGACTGAAAGTATCTTGAAAAATAATTAAGATTAATTAAAGTTAATTAAAATTATTTAAAATTAGTAAATTATTAAATTAATTGAAAATTAAGAACTTATTTTTACAAAAATTATATCGAATTAAAATTACTTAATTAAAATTAAGAATTAATTACAAATTTATTTTTAAAAAAATCTGAATAAAATTTATTAATTAAAATAAATTTAAATTAATTAAAAATTTATTTTTTAAAAAAATTAATTCTTATTGAGATTAATTAATAAAAGTCAATTACAAATTAATTACAAATTTATTTTTAAAAAATTAAATCCAATTGAAATTAAGTTGTATCTTTGAGCACATTAACTTTTTTTTTTAACTTTCAAAGCCAGTTTCTAATGCTTTCTTTTTTTTTTATTTGCGAGCAATCAAACATAAACTTAATGATTATAAATTTCTATCAACTAGTTTTTACTTCTATGTAGGTAGTTTTTACTGAAACGTGTTTTTTTAGAATAAATATCAACTAAGGTCTAATAATAAATATCTATTTATAAGAAAAAATTATTTCGTCTATATTACAATAAATTTTATTTTTGCAAAAAGTAAAGACTTAAATAATCGAATGAATATTAAGACTCTACTTTAAACGAAACAGATGTTTTAAAAAACAGCCATATACATAAAATTAGAAAATTTTTAAAACTGTATGAATGTTTATATTAAAATACTTTATTTTTATAATAATAATGGATAGATATTGGTATTCTATTTTGAATAGTTGTAATTGGTAAAAAAGTGAACTGTTTGCACACCTGATCACAAAAGATGCGAAATAGAGAGATTTTGTCTGCATGCTTTAAAAATCCTTTTTAATCATGTAAGTGTACTTATTGCTGCTAGATTGAATATTTATGTATGATGAGAAAAACAAACAAACATTGTTACTTAAAAGAATGCGTGACAAAAAAAAACTGTTTATGTTTATTGTTTGTTTATATTTATTGCTGAATGATGCACAAAACATTCCAATCTTTTCATGTCATTTCCTGAAACTAGGTGTATTTAAATAATCGGCTTTTAAAGAATGGTTGAAAAGTGTCGTCCCCTTGTTATTTATAAATCAGAATTTTTTTTTTTTTTTTTTTTTTTTTTTTTTTTTTTTTTTTTTTTTTTTTTNTTGATTAAGATAAAAGCTTTTTTTTTAGTTTCTCCGCAAAATTATCCAGCGATAAAGTGGAACTTACACTTGCGCATCCATTACTTTAATTGCGATTCAAACCGGTTTGCACTTGTTTACGTTCGTGTATCAATGGGTTAAATTAGACGATCTATAATGTAAATCAGACGATTGGACGATATATTATATAAATATAAAATATTTATTATATCAGGTATTATATTACAATAATTGGACCCAATTATTAGAGGAACTGCAGTTTATTTAATAAATATATGTTCAGCACGAGTTTATATTCAATACTTTTATATTCAATGTCATGGATTTTCTTCAGGAGAATTTTTATATACTTCTTATTTGTATTTATTTTTTAACGTATTGTATTACCAATTGATACACAATCATAAACCGGTTTCAGCTGCTTAAAAATAGTTAAGCTGTATCACCTGATAATTAAGATTTTGGATCTCATGCTTCAGTCTAATAATTTGGACTCTAAATAAGAAGTTAATAATCAGGCTATTCAGATTTTATGTTCCTAGTTTTTAAGATATCGATCTGAAAAAGAAATAATTAACTTTTTTTTTTGGAAACTCTTAAAAAATTCTAAAAATTTAAATCCAGGAATTTCACCACAATTGAAAAAACTCATTAGGAATACCATTGTTTTGTTCAGGAATTTTCAGGGCCCAAAAAATAATATTTAAAAGCAGAAAAACAGTTTTAAGTCTCTATTGAATATTTATAATATTATAAATACCTTATTTTAAGTAGTTTAATCTTTAAATACTGTTGTAAATAACTCTTATTAATTAAGTAATATTAATAATATTATAAATAATTTAATACCTTATCAGAGTTAAAACTTCCATCAATCATTCCGCTTCAAAATATCATAACGATTTCAAAATTATGTAAATTTGTTCCAGTTTTTTAAAGTTTTCTAATTAAAATTGCTTTAAAAAGGGTTTGATGGCGTGCGCACTTTATTTGGACGTCATCACACTTTTCAACTGTGTTCAAGTGTAATAGAGCGCATGCGTCGTCATTGCATGCGTTGCTATGGCGAGAGCTGCGTTTTAGAATTCTTTTTATACTGATGTTTCGAAAAGTATTTTCTTTGAAATGTTTCTCAAAAGTTTATGACGCAATTCTTTAGATGTTATTATCGACCTTTCTGAGTGTTGTTCTAGGAAAGTGTTCTCTTGAGAAAATCTAAGCTTCAGTAAAAAAAGAATGAAAAGAGGAAAAAACGAGGTAAATCATTTAAAACTTGTTAAATGCCTGCAGTCTTAAGAATCCATTCTACTATATTAAACACATAGATTACAAATAATTTCCCGTTTTAATTCAGCCAAAATAATAAAAATTTCCTATTCTAAATACCATAAGAAATTCTAATTATCATATAAAAGAAGAAATAAAAAATTGCAAATTCCATTACTCTTAACAGAATTTTATTTCTGACTATTAAATTTAATCTTTTGCCTTTTAAAACGAAAGTATTCCTTATAAGAATCAAAATTAAAGCTGCCAACTGTCTGCGGTACAATTAGAACTTGACGACGCATTCAAAAAATTTTAGTTTTTGATCATTCATAAATTGAAAATTCGTGCGGCACAATGAATTTTGTATTCTATTTCTTCACCCAAATAAGGGTTTGTAAAAAAATCCATTTCAGGTTTGCGTAACGATTTGAAAGAAGGTTGTTATTGTGTCTTTAAGTAAAAGAATATTTGATGTAACTTCATTAATGAAACTATTTATGGACATTAAATTTTTCTTCGCAGTTAATCGTATGAACAAAACTCATGTGATTAAGTTGTTCTCAGATTTAATGACAGCGTAGAAAAAGTTTATTGACCACAAATTTTTATAGTGTTCAAATTAATTTATTGATTTATAATTTGTTTTATAGATACTTTTATATTTCGCTGGCGTAGGTGATATAATGTTTTAATTGGCAAACACATTTTTATCTAATTTAGTATTTTAAAAATTAAACGACAATTATGAAATATTTTTCAATTTTGATATTTGCATCTGAAATTTTAATGAAGGCTTCATTTTAAATTTAACTAATTGCACTTAAAGTTTTAGTAATTTTTTTATTACAAAAGACTGAATAATAATTGGTATTGATTCAGAAAAAAAATTGAACTATTCAGAAAAAAAAATTTTTTTTTTGTTTTTGATCACGGATAATAATGTCGAAAATAATTACCAAATCATATCACCTTTGGACCCTCATAAGAAAACTGACTGCAAAAAATTTTAAAAAAGGTTAAGGAAAAAAATTAGTTATAGCAAATTATGAAAGACGAAACCAGAAATTTTAACTTATAGATAAGGTATTATTTTCACTGAAAAGAATAGATAGAACATGTAATTTCAGATAAAAAAAAAAATTCAAGAAATAAACAGTAAATATTTATGTTCTCTTCAAGAATATGAAAATATTGATCAATTATAGGAATAGATTTTCTTATAATTGATCAATATTTTCATATTCTTTCTACATTTTATATTTAATTCTATAACCGTCGTTGAGCCATTTTTTGGGGGGGGGATTACGACTAGCCTTGTAATTTTTAACAAAATCCAGAAGACGAGGGATTTAATGCAAATATTTATTAAGGGCTGTATTTACATAAAATTGTTGTATTACAACACTTTTGACGGCACTTTTCAACCAAAAAAAAAACTGCATATTCCTACAACAAGCATATCGCCTACTATATTTGAGTGTTTTGTTTTATTCGTAAGTAGTATGCTATGGTGCTAAATTGTTTAGTTTAACCTAAAACAAAATATATAACACCTGTTAATTACTATAAAACACTTTATTTTGACCTAATCTGTGATATCGAAGTGAATCATTGTCATTCACTTCCGAATGTTTCTTAAATTATCTTTCATCCGATTCAATTCTCTTAAAACTGTCATTGCATTACATGTCTTATTCCAATATTAGGTCATTTTTTTAAACTTTTTAAGTTTATTAGGTTTATTTTAAGTTTATTAAGTTTTACATTTTTTTAAGATTATTGTAATTAACAAGAAAAGTAAATTTTATTTAACTCTCTATTTTTTTTATCGGGAACATTAATTTTGAAAATTAAAATTAATTAAATTTGTAAAAATAGTTTTAAAAAATTTTAAATTTGATCTGTAAAACTAATTTCAATTCAATCGAAAAACTTCAATTTATTCATTCCAATGTAAAATTTAATTTGTTAACTATAATTAGCTTCTAAATGTTTCTTTCCACTCTAGAAAGACTGAAACTTACCTATAATGCCCAAAAGCAGTCAAAATGACTGCATTATGAAAGAATTTCTCTAAAAATTTGTCTGAAATTAATTTTTAATATTTTTTATATTATTTACAGTTATAAGCAATTTATTAGTAAATATTAACAATTTTAAAAAATTATATGTTGTTCAAAAAGTCACAAAGTTCTAAGAAGTTGTGTTATTATATAACATCATTGCTTTTCTAATTGAAATTAAAAAGCAATCAAAACGACTTCCTTGGGCAATTTAGTGTTAAATATTTACCTTTATTCAATGAACTCTTTTCTTTATTGGCTTTCTTCACAATTATTTTCTTAAATCAATTGAGATTTTAATGGTTATGCTAAGCATGGACTACTAGTTTGCAAATTTATAAATATACTTTATTTAACTTGACTGAGAACTTGAACTGAATCAAAAAAAATGTTTAATTATTTAACATTTATAATTTTTGCAGTGCCCTATTTTTTTTTTTTTTAATGGAACTCTATTTTTGAGTGCCCTATTTTTTTTTTCTTTTCTTTTTTTTTTTTTTTTTACTTTTAAATGAAACTTTTAAGCGATTTTTGGAAT